CTTGGTCCCTGGATGCGGCACCCAGCAAGTCTGAAATGTCTGAGGAGACATAAACAAAAAGGGGGAGAAGTCACGATTGTCCCCCTATTTGTTTGACCTAAATACACTGAAGTAACTGTACCCCCATGAAAGAGATAATTTCCTGACGCTGGAGAGCTCAACATCTGTTTCCTCCCATTTTTTTTCAGTGGTAGAACACGGTAACGGAAGAACTGGCGGGGTTTTCTTTCCTCTTTTTCTTTTGTATAGCAAGAGGCGCTGCATGCTTGGGCTAAATACGCTCTCCGAGAGCAGACAGGTTTCTCTCAAGGGTTATATGATCATTTGTTCTCTATTTTCTCTCCTTCCTGCCTCCCCCCACCCCTTCTGGAGAGGAGCGGATACAGCGAAGCCCAGGCAGGACTTCCTTAGCTCAGCCATGCCTTCTGGCAGGCTGCGCCGCGTGCCCTCTCCCCGTCACCCCCCTTCCCCGAAAAACAATGGCCAAAGGCTCCTTCTTGTTTGTTATTTTGGATCCTGCAGAGGAAGAGCCGAGTGGAAGATCATGTCCCCAGGGGCCCTCGGTGCATTCCAGCTCTGGCAGCGCTCGGCGAGGCTGTTGGCGCCTGTTGGCTCCAGCTTGTGGTGCTGGGGGGGACGAGGGGTTTGGAAGCAAATGTAGCTCTGCTGAGAGGTGAGAGGAGGGGGATGGAGAGCCTTGGAGGGATGTCTGGTGATGCCTTGAGAGGCTCCTGGGACAGAGGCTGGACGGAATAAAATGGGGATTTATTAAAATGCCTTTAAAGGATCACTTTGGGCAGTGCAACAGCCTGGCCAAGGCTACACTCAAGATGGACCTCAGGTCAGTTTTCACACCTTTATAAGTTTTGGTTCATTTCCACATTGGGGTTAATTGTGCAATTCCAGCTGCAGGTGATGCAGTCCCATCCTCTCAGATTGCTCTCCTCAATTCCCTGCTGTTCACACTTTTTGGGGCTGAAGCTGCAGCGGTGTCCTTGGTTCTGGGGCTGGAAAAGGATTGTTGTGTCTGCCTGGGCTGTGAGGAGAACTGGCTGATGCTTTATCTGAAGTTCAGAGTTATGAACCAACGCAGAACCTGGAAAATATAAACGCCAAAACTTAAGGCATCACTGGAGTCACTGTTCCACACATCCAGCACAGCACAGGTTGTCACAGTGCCAGGAGGAGCTGGGCTTTTGTACTGACTATTCTGACATCGTTTGAACCCCTCAGCTTCTCCTTGCACATGGGCTTCAGTGAGCCTCAGACCTTCTCTATCCTCCAAAAACCCTCCAGGATGACCTGGGGTCTCTCCAGGTGCTTTGAGCCAGTGGCTTTGTGGTGGAGAGCACGTTTCTGACACATGATCCTGTCTAGGCTGTCCCAAGGGCAACCCCACCACCAATTTCCTCTTTGTTCCCTTCAAAGGTTTGTTGTTTCTCCGGGTTCAAATCAAAATAGTTCTTCGGGATCACTTGACGAAAGGGATTTACCATTTGCCTGGAACCTGGAATATGTGTGCTCCAGCATCCCACAACACTGAGAGATGCTGGAATCATGGCATGGTTTGGGTTGGAAGGAGCCTTTAAAATCATTTTGTTCCACTCTTTGGCCAGGGACACCTTCCACTACCCCAGGTTGCTCCAAGCCCCAATGTTCAACCCAACCTTAGACACTTCCAGGGATCCAGGGGCAGCCACTGCTTCTCTGGGCAAGCTCTGTCAGTGCCCTTCTCGTGCTTCAGAGCACTAAATATATATTTCTAAAAATTTGTTCCTGCTTGTTGCCCCAAAACCTGCAACGATCTGAAGATTTCAGGGATTGTGTGGTGCCTGCCTGGCAAACAGCCTGAGCTGTGTGCTGTTAAATGAGCAGTTTATTTCCACCAGTCTCTTGAGAAAACTCAGCCTGGATCAGACCTTTCCTAATCGATGCTTCCTTTCTAGCAGGTCTTGCTACCCTGCTGCCTTTGGAGCTGGTGGTGTGGCTTAGCTTGGTTTTACAGCCTGCTGTTGCTCTGCTGGTGGGTAACCTGTGTAGAGCAGCTCAGCAGCAGGAGGTTGCCCATGGAAAGTGTCACTCCCTGAGGGGTGGCTTGGGACAGCTCTGATTGCTCGGGCCTGACTCAGTGGCCTTTAAGGCTATGAGAACTGTAAACTTCAGTGGGTGTTCCCTGGGTCTGTGCTGTTATTTCTGCTGGCTGGCTGCTAAATCACACTGAAAAGGAGCAAAATTGCTCTTACTCCCACCTGTATCACGCAGGAAGAGCCTGTTGCCAAGGGAATGTTGTGCAATCACCACTGAGATACAGAGCACCTATTTCTTTCTTAGAGATTGGGATAACGCACAAAATATGGAAGGAATTTGAAGAAGGGGGACTCGTGGCTGTAGATACAGATGTTTGTGTAACACACCTGGTGCCCTTGGCTGGGGGTTTTATTAATCTCAGTTTATTCATCCCCCTCAGTGACCTGGAAAAGGAAGGTGAATTTTCAGAATGAAGGGCTGCGGCTTTTGTGACGAGGAGAGCAGGGCAAGGCAGGGACCCACACAGGCCCTGTACACCGGAGCTGTTGGCAGTGTTTGGTTGATAGCTGGAGTTTTACAAAACCATCTTCCCCTCCAGGTGAGATTTGGTGTGTTTTGGAGAGCAAACACACGAGCCTTTGTTCTCCAAACCTGGCTGAGCCACCCTCCTTGGGCTCAGGTAATGTGAGGGCAGTGGAAGAGGCAGAAGGTGGTTGTGTTTTCTGTGGTTAAAGCTCTGCTTCAAGTGATGGTAATCCCAGCTCAGCTGCTGGGTGGTAACTTGCTGCAACTTGACATCTGCAACTGCAGCTCAAGGAGGGGAAAAATAAACATGTGGTTGACAAGTGGTGTAGTTTTCTGACTAATAGCTGTTTCTTCAAAACCTCTTTCCCCTGCACCCAGAAAGGTGAGCAGTGGTTCATCAGACACTCTTAAGGCTGCTGCCCTCCATGCTCAAATTATATTTTGTCGTGGTGGGCCTGAATGGCCCCAAGGCCATGTGGTTTGGTTGTTTAAGCCACCTTTGCCGTGCTTGGCTGATGGGAAGCTCAGGTTTCCCCCAGGCAGCTCTGCAGGTGCTGGCACAGCGGTGGGCGCTGCGTTCAGCGGCTCCAGGGGGCGATGGAGCATAGCAGATTTTGGCTCCTGCTCAGGGAGGAGTGAGGGACGCTGGCTGGGGTTTGTCTTGGTGGTTATTTGCTGTGGGTTATAGAATGTTTAGAGCTGGGGCTGGAGCTGGCTCAGGGGCAATGGGCACCGAGGAAGCTGCGCTGGGAGGTGGTTCCTGCCAAGGTCAGCCTGTGGTTTCAGTGTGTGCAGTCCTGCAGGTGCCACTGGGGGGAATTCAAACACCAACAAGGTGGTTTTGAAGATGAGGAGAGGTCCAGGTGAGGCTGTGGTGGGAGATGGAGAGGAGGAACCAAACACTGATCACAGAATGGATCTCCTCTCTGCTTACAGCACTTGTGTCTGGCTTCATAGTGGCAGCTCTAATTTACATCTGCTTTAAAGCTGCTAAAAAAAAAAAAGTATATATATATATAACCCCCACCATATTTAAATTTTAGGCCACCCATGTGCCCTGTGATACTGGATTCTGTTGCTTCTCTGGGGAGGGCTATGCAGGATCTGTCCCTTGTTATGGGCTCTCTTTTCCCTGCCACATGAGGAACAGCCCGTCTCCTCTGTGCTAGCATCCCTCCTAAGACTTCACAGGCAAGCCTCTTCCCTTTGAATCTTCTTTCCTCAGGATCCACCCAGCCAAAACCAATAAAACATAAAACTGGCAAGAGAAAACAAACAAAATAAGAGGACCGTTTGTGATTTCTGTCTTTTGCTGCCAGTTGGCTGCACAACTTGAAATGACTGAAATACTCTTCTTTTTTTTTCCCCCCCCCTACTCCTTCCAACCCATTCCAATGTGTTAGTCTTTAATTTGTAGCAGGAATGTCTGGGAATAACTCACATCCCAAAGCGACAGCCTGAGAAATGAGGGGCTGGTCTCCTCCTCAGGCACCAGATGGAGGTCCTGCTCAACCCTTGGTTTTTTGGGAACAAAAGCTTCTGTGGTCTCTGCAGGGACCCATGACAACACAGCTTGCACATGAATTCCTGCTACAGGGTTTAAATGGAGGCAGGTGGTGCTGAGGCCCCAGAAGTGTCTGGGGAAGGAAGTTCTCTCTTAGAATGTGTGTGGTGGTGGCTACAAGAGGCTGAGGAAAGAGATGGCTGAAGCAGAGCGGGGCAGCATGTGGAGCATCATCGCCTGGCTGACTCTGGGGTGTACCTGGAGGTACCCACGGAGCTGTGGGACTGCATGGGCTGTGTTTGGCAGTGTGTGGCTGGGCTGGGGACTGTTTGGCAGTGGACATTTAGGGTGTGTAGTTGTGGGTTGTGTTTGGCTGTATCCAGTGATGCTTTGTCATTGTGGGGTTGTTGGCAATGAACATTTAGGATTGATAACTGTGGGGTGTGTTTGGCAATGAGCATTTAGGGTGTGTAATTGTGGGGTGTATTTGGCTGTATCCAGTGATGCTGTGTAACTGTGGGGTGTATTTGGCTGTATTCCACCAGGATGTGTAACTGTGGGGTGTATTTGGTAGGGTACATTTAGGTTGTGCAGCTGTGGGTTGTATTTGGACATTTAGGATGTGTGATTGTGGGGTGTATTTGGCAATGAGCATTTAGGGTGTGTAACTGTGGGGTGTATTTGGTAGGCTACATTTTGGTTGTACAACTGTGGGTTGTATTTGGCAGTGGACATTTAGGGTGTGTAACTGTGGGTTGTATTTGGCTGTATTCCCTCAGGATGTGCAACTGTGTGGGGTGTATTTGGTAGGGTACATTTAGGATGTGTAACTTTGGGGTGTATTTGGCTGTATTCCTTCAGGATGTGTAGCTGTGGGCTGTATTTGGCTGTATCCAGTGACGTTGTGTCACCGTGGGGTGTGTTGGGTACAGCCGGTACCACCGGTGGCTCCACCAGAGCAGAGCCAGCAGCAGCCCTGGCAGCACCTCCCATGGTTAATAAAGGGCAAAAGTGGCCAGGAGGAGTGATGGGGGGATAAAAAAAGGTGAGAAGCAGCTCAGTGAGCACTGAGGTCTGTGAGGATGGTGAGGATGAGGTGCTGGAACAGGGGATGATCCCTGGCAGGAGTTGCGGCCTGTGCAGGCCCCGTGCAGGAGCAGGTTCTCCTGACAGGAATGGAGCCTGTGATGGCTCCCCATGGCAGGAATGAGACCTCTGGAGGCTCCACACAGGAGCAAGGGGATGTTCCTGGTAGGAATCAGCCTGTGGAGCTGATTCCTGGTAAGAATTGTAACCAGTGGAGGCCCCACACGGAGCAGGTTCTCCTGACGGGATCCGTGGCCTGTGAAGGCCCCACAGGAGCCCAGGACAAGTATGAGAAGGAAGGGACAACTATTATGTCCCAACCATACCTCTCCCAGTTCCCAATCCTTCTGCACCCTTTGGTGGGAGGTGAATCCTTCAGAAGATGGGGAAATTGAGCCATGGTGGATGGGGGTAAGACATTGCATTAGTTTTATCTTTGTTTCTCATTATCCAGATCAGTTGGTGATAAATCGAGTTGACAGTGATTGGAAAGGGGTCACCATATTTTTATAGCAGCCCATCAGCTTTTTCATCTTATTTCCCCCCTTGCCTCAGTTGGGCAGCATGAGTGGACATCTGGCAGCCCACCACAGCAGCAAACACTCATTTTTGCTACCCTAAGCACGGCTGGTGCCAAAAATGCTTGGCACAACCCCTGTGGCAGGGCTCACAGAAAGCCAGATGACTGTTGTCCATAATAAAAAGAGGGATGCTGGTTGTTTCTGCTGGCTGTGCTCTGCTTCTGTGGTGCCTCTGCCATCCGTGGGGGTCTCACGGGTTATCCCTTGTTGGGGGCAGACGTGGTGGCAAGGTAGAAACAGACTCATTTGGCTGAATGTGAGGGTCATGAGATGCCCAGGGCAGTAGCTGTTGTGTTAATAACCTTAGTTTTAACAGAAATAGCAGGTTTAAGTGTTTCTAGTAGATATGGGGACTGTTCACAGTGCTAGTGTGGCTCTCCTGCTGCTTGGGGGAAAGTGGAGAGTTTCTCCATTGTCAAACCCATGTCACTATTTCTTCCTTCTTCCTCCTAAGAGTAGGATTGGACATTGAGGGAATTGAACCCCATGGAGTGCCTGACATGTAATTCTGCTTTCTAGACAGCAAACCCAGGAGCAGCAGATCCAGCCCCAGGAAGCTGTAATATTGAGACAGGGCAGATGAATTCCAGAGGAAGGGAAGCTTTAGGAGCTGTATTCCCACAGCTGGTTCAGAGTGGTTTCCATTGCTGCTGTATTTTTAATCGTGTCCACTGGAACCCACTTGAAGGGAACACGTTTTTTGTAGCTTTGAGTGGTGGCCAAGCAGCTTTCATTGAGCAGACCAGTGCCAGGAGGGATTCCCGTGCTGGTGCCATCGCTACTGTATGAAAAACCTGGCTTGGCTATTCCATGAGTTTTCTGATGTTGTAGTGGTTTAGAGTTGTGTTGCTTCCAGGAAAAGGCTCACCCTGATTTTTCTTTGAAAGAGACTGAGCTATTGGGAGCATGGTGCCAGTTCCTGGCAGATGGGGATGGTGGAGATGACAGTGACATGTGCAGGGGCACTCACTGGAATTTCCTCTCTCCTCTCTCTGCCATGAACTCTGATGCATTTAGAGCCTCCGCAACTTGCAAAACAAAGATGTGATTCATGGGATTCTGAGCGTACTTTGTGGTGACTTTATTAGTGCAGGAAGTTTATTTGTGGTCACTAAATGTTCAGTCATTTAACTCAGATTTAAATAGCTTTAAAATTTATCTGGTTTGAAAGCAAAATTTCAGCCTCCCTGGAATCAGTGGGGAAAACCACCACAGCCACTGGGATAAAGTTTTACTTGTGATGCTTTAAGAAATGTGTCTTCTGGAAGTTTTCTGCTCCTAATGGCATTCCTTTGTTCTTTTCCCTTAAAGTCTTGTGAAGAAAGCAATCTGAGGACCATGCATCCGTGACTCCTGGAACCAGCCTGTGAGCCAGGGCGATGGAAGCTCTAGAGGGCCTCCAGCGTACTGCTTCCGTGAGCATTCCCAATGGATATGCCAACAGGATTTTCCAAGGAAACATGGAGGGAGGGAGCACCGATGCCTTGGAGGCCTGTGGTGCTGAGCACTGCGCCTCCGGCGACGCGATCCCCGGTGAGCAGGAGGAAACACACAGGTTTAAGAAGACAACCAAGGGCAGCCGGATCTGGAATTTCGTCAGACGCAGGAAAGGACTCGCTACGAATAAAGACAGACCCCAGTCGATGATTTTGCTGGGAGTTGCCTCTGAGGTCTCAGAATTAAAAAAGCCATCCTTCATGGAGAGGGTACGCTCGTCAAAAAAGGGGAGATCCTCCAGGACAGCCAAGAACGTGGATTTGAGAGCATCCAGAGTGCAGGATGTGTGTGACCCTGAGGAGGACCTTCACTGCAGTGGGCAGAGAGCTGTCTACAGGGTTAAGAAGCTGGGCGATGGCCGGAGACCCTCCCGTCACTCGTACGCGGGGTACATCGAGGATCTGGACTCTTCTTTTGAGGACATAGAGCTGAACATCAGCATTCCTGAACTCGATACCACTGAAAGTAAATGTCTCAGGGATATTAGTGGCAGATTACACGGTGAGGATAATGATGGTAACTGCCACAGAATAGCAGCCAGGAAGAGCGAGTCTTTGAATTATGAACACGTTAAGAGTCCTGCAATTACAGAAGGGGACAATCAAAAGAGGTGTGCTGTGCTCCCACAGGAGAGCAGGAGAGGAAGGAGCTCTGATGTCTGGAGCTATCTGAAAGGAATTTCATTAGCTAGCAAAGATAATTCAAAGCTCCCAGATCAAAGGGCTGAAACCAATTTCCAGAACTTAGAAAATACAACCGATCATTCCGCTTCTTACTTTGACTTTGATACGAGATGTGAGGAGAATCTCAGCCAGCGAAAGAAATCAAACGGTGCCGCCAAAGCCACTCACTTTGGGGGTGTTGTGAGGTTCTTAAGCAGCGTGGCTGAGGCAGCTCGGCGGCTGCGAGGCTCCTCGAGGGCGTTTTCCCCCGATGAGAAGAGGCCTCAGCGCAGTTTCCGAGGCCGCAGACAGGATGTTGCCTCCCCCAAAGAGGGTTTGGTTATCGAGAACGAGAGCGCAAAGGCCTTTTGCACGGTGGGAGCCTGTCTGCAGTCCCCGGATTCAGGCACATGGGAGAACCTGAGCTTTGAGAGCTTGGCGGGGAAGGAGCCCGTGCAGCACTGCAAAACCACAGATGGGCTGAACGGCCTTGGTTCCTCTGGCCTGGACAGTGGCAATGACAGGCTTAATGAAACCTCACTTCCTCCCTTTGGGCCAGAACCATCCATGTCCCAGCTGGCAGAGCTGGCAGATGGCTCTTTCACTGAGCTGAACAGCAAAGATCCCTCTGAGGATCTGGTTGAACTTCCACAGAAAACTCTGGCTGAACCGATTCAGGACTTGGGCACGACGCCAGAGAAGAGCCAGGTCGTGGCCAGGGACCTGCTGCCTTCTCCTGATCTTCCTGTGACTAGTCTGGATACTGGGGACCTGGGCCGTTCTCCAGCTGCCAGAGGGGACTTTTCTGCAGAAACTGAAGTGCAGACCCACCTCCCACAGGCATCGCAAACTAAATATGATTCTGGGGATGTGGCTTGTGCCCCAGTGGTTGCTAAAGACATGGATCCATCTCCAGCAGTTGCTCAGGAGCTTTCAGAGACAGAACTGGATAATCAGGACTTGAGGAATCCTGAGCTGCCTTTGCAAAACTTGTCTGGAGGTGAGTTGGAGGTTCAAGACAGTGGCAGTACCCTGGAGAGGGTCGTGGGCAGAGATCTGCCACCTTCTCTTGATCTTCCTGCCAGTAATCTGGATGCTGCAGATCTGGGCTCTTCTCCAGCTGCTGATGGTGCCTTTCCTGCAGTGACTGAGGCTCAGACCCACCTTCCACAGACATCACTGACTAAACTTGATACCGAGGACATGGCTTGTGCCCCAGTGATTGCTAAAGACACGGATCCATCTCCAGCTGTGGCTCAGGAAATTTCAAGGACAGAACTGGATAATCAGGACTTGAGAAATCCTGAGCTGCCTTTGCAAGACTTGTTGGGAGGTGAGCTGGGGATTCAGGACTCGGGCAGTACTCCAGAGACATCACAGGCTGTGGGCAGAGATGTGCCACCTTCTCCTGATCTTCCTGTGAATAAGCTGGGTACTGTGGACTTGGGCCATTCCCCAGCTGCCAATGGTGACTTCTCTGCAGCACCTGAGGCTCTGATCCACCTTTCGCAGGCAGCTCTGACTGAGGAGAGCCAAGACACTGTCAGTTCTCTGGAGAAGGGTCTGGTGATGGGCAGGGACCTGCCACCTTCTCACAACATTCCCGAGAACGTTCTGGATGCTGCGGACATGGGCTGTTCCGCAGTTGCCGACGTGGACTTTTCTGTAGTGACTTTTTTAAAGTGTTCCACAGTGAAAAGGCAGGGTTTGGAACAGCATGGTGGCCGCATTAAAACGCGGGGAACCGCTTCATTTGTGGAGCAAAACTCTGTGGAGGTCATGGACAGAGTGGAAGAGTTTGAGTGCAGCACAGAGTGCAGGCCCTTCCAAGTGCACGTCTCGAGGATTGTCTCTTCCGGACGCCTCAAAAATGGAAAGGTAGGAGCAACTTTGTGAGGTTTGCAGTAAGATCACGCTGTTGTACATCTCAAAAAGTTGGTTCACACTTGAAAGTGGTTTTTTTGCATCCTTCATTGGGGTTTCTGTGAATGGTGGCAGCAGCTTTTAGATCAGTCTGAGTCTGAGCTCTTAAACCTCCAGAGCTGCTCCTGCTGTGACCTTTTGTGTGTATCAGTGTCTTTTGAAGAGGCTGTAGCAGTTCATGCATTCCTAAACACTATCTTTAGTTTTTTTCCTCTCTGCATTTAGGTTCATTTGAAGTAGAAGCTCCTTAGAAGAGGGGTTTTAGCAAACTGGGAGTTTAAAAGTGTGCTGTGGGCAAACAGAATTCAGTAATTTGCCTCTGTATTTTCTTACCTAAAGCAGATGTAGGAGTGATGGGGTGGGTGATGATGAGGAGTGGGCGATGATGAAAGCTGGGCAATGCTGATGGCTGCAGTCATGGCAGGACTTTCCTGTCTGGTACAAGCAAGTCTTTCAAAGTCCTTAAAATCCTCAAAACATTTATGGGGACATTGCATTTTGGTCTGTTCTGGGTGTTGCCAATCTGTCTTGTCCAGCTTATTGCCACAAAACATCAGAAGTCCTGTGGAGCCAGAGTGAAGCCCAGCTTTAGGGTTCTTTTGGGTACCTGGTGAGCTGAGGCTGGAATGTTCTCTTTCTTTTTTCAGGCTGCCAGGTAGAAAAATTACGTTGATTTGTGAAGAAACTTTCTCTTTTCCTTTTGGGTTTGGTGAGACAAGAGATATTCCAGAGGTGATGACACTGTTGCCTGTTGGAAAAGGGGTCACAGTAACTTCTGAGCCAGGAGGGGAAGTGTTTGAAAATTGGCAGCAGATTAGAAATGCTGTGGGGAAAAAATCTGAACTTCTGACTCGCAGCTAAAACAGGCAGCAGTATTGTTAGTTATTCCTGGCTTTGTTTTTCTGCTCCATTTTGTGTAATACAAAGAATTACAGAAGCTCTCTGTGTAATCCCAGGCACCCCAGAGGAGTGAGTAGTGCTTGGTCACTTGGGGTTTCTGGAAGAAGCATTTTTAGGAGGAGCTTGAGAGGGATGTGGTTTGATATCCCCTCACAGGGACCAAGCTGAAAGTGTTGTGGGCAGGAGCAAGATGAGAGAGGCACGAAAGGATGGAGTGGAGCAGAGGGGAATAGCAGCATCTTCACCCAGAGCATCCACAGCTGCACAGGGGCTGCCTGTCTGTTCCCAGCGCTCTCAGGGCACAATCCCAGCGCTTTCCTGACTCAGCTGTGTGAACAGGAGATGCCCTAAGTCCCAGCTCAGCTGTTGCAGCTTGACCAAGACATTTAAATATGGTGCTTGAGATAACTGGGCAGGAAACCTCCCCCGAGTTCCCGTGGAGCGTGGCCATAGCACACGACCTCCGGGCTGCCGCGCTTCCTCTGGCAGGGAGGGCTGGCTCCTCTGGGCAGGAGCTGCAGCAGGGTGGGAGGGAGAGCAGCCAGCCCCACCTGGCTTGTGGACACCCCCTGCACCCCAGCAACTCCTGCTGCAGGTTCAGAAGTGCACAGAGATCTGGTGGTGGCACCAAACCCAGAGCGAAGGGAGGCTGAGGAAGGGATCTCGTGGCCAGGAAGAGCCCTGGAGAGTCTGCCAGCAGCTCCAGTAACAAATGAGCTGAGATACCCCAGGGATTTGCTCGCCTATCTCCCATCAGGGAGCGGCACTCGGAAACGCTTTACCAAAAATAAACATGGAAGAGGAGTAACTTCAGCCTGAGCGTGACAGTAGCAGCAAACTCCAGCCTCTTATTGTTTTAGGGCTCAGTCCATCTCTTTGCTGGCACCTGTTCCTGAGGAGTTGCTGGCTCTGCTGCCTCCACTCCAGGCTGCTCTGATTATCTGTAGGATTTGTATTTCAAGGGAAGTGCTCAACCACAGGGAGAAGGTGCTGCCAGGACAGGGTGGCTTGGCCAGGCTGAGTACTCTGAGCAAGTTCCCCAGCAGTTTTAGTGTGTGAGCAGAGCAGGGCAGAAAGCATTTCCCAAACAACTTAAACATTGTCCCAAAAAAAGCATAAAACAGAGCCTCCTGTGGGGAGATGGTGTGAGAAACTGAGGCTGGTGTAGCACAAGGGATGCTGGAGTGGGATTTAGGGCATCTGTACATGGGCTCTGCCAGTAAGTAAATCTGTTTAGTTGTATCTGCAATTAATGCCCCTGGTTTTTGCTTTCCTGGTCTTGCCTTTTAAAATTCTAATGTCTTTGGGCAGGAGCTGAGTGATATTGTGGGCAAATAGTTTGGTAGGATTTGATCCTGATGCTTTAAAGGAAAGAGCATTGCAACAGCATTTAATAAAAGCAGATGCAGAAAAGTAGAAAAGCACATCCCTGATAGTTGTTTTAGACCCCATCCCAAACTTTCATGTGTTCTGGGAACTTGTGAAACAGTGGAGATAAACTGCTTTGAGGAATTGGAAGAACAGTAAAAATCAGAACAAATTGTCAGTGGGAAGTGCATTACTGCATCCACGCTGCTGCAGCTCTGTAATCACAGTGCCATCCTTATTCTGAGATAAGAGAAATGGAGTGAAAGATGACACAGAGGTTTCACTAGTTTTTGGGCAGAGTTTCCATTTTCCATGTCTCCACTGAAGTGAATAATCCTCCTCCAACCTCGATAAACACCACAGCATCCCATCAGTGAAACTGCTGCTGCAGGAAGTCAGGCCTAGCCCCAGGAGTTGTCTTTGAGAATTCCCAGTAGCTTGAGATGATGTTTAGATGGAAAGCAGCTTTGATAATGTGTATTTTGCAATTCCAGCCTTCCATCAGGGTTCCAAACTGGCTGGTGTGTCCATGGACAGGGTTTGGGATGATTTGATACCTCCTTTGGAGTGACACGAGGAAAGGTTGCAAAACAGGCATCTGAATTCATATTTCAGGTATCAGTTTGTAGTTTTTAGGACCCAGAAACAAGTGTCAGGTTTATTTCTGGCAGATACATCTGCCAAAGGGTGGACTGGGAGCATCTGGGAGCCTCTGGGTTGGTGTCACCCTCGCAGTGACAGCAGAGCGCTTTCACCACAGTCTTTCTGTGCCCTCTGCTGGCTTGGTTGAGAAATAAGAGGTTATTTTGATGGAACAAAAAGCCTAATCTTTATCCTTGGGGTTCAGAATTTTATCTCCAAAGGGTTTGCAGGCTGCAGCTTTTTTCTGGCTGCACATAGTTTAGTTTGTGAGGCTGTTCTCTGGGGGAATTAGGATTGCCAGAAGTGTGAAAATGAGATTTCTAGAGGCTTGTCAGCCTTGGCAAAAGCTGTGTGTCCCATAGGATGAGGTGGCAGGCTGATGGGATGCTGTGGTTGGTTTCAGGGCTCTGGAAGGGGCCGTGTGCTCAAACTCCTGCATGGCTGCAGATGTTTCTCTGGAGCAGCTGCTGAGGTTGTTCCTCCGAGTCCTGGACTCACAAAGTGTCCCAGTGCCACAAAGGTGCAGAGTGTGCTGCTGCTCTGAATGGCCCAGGTGGATATGGGTGCTGTCAGGGCTTTAGGAGGTTTTTGGGGCTCCTGTGCTCTGTGGGGGAAAGCGGGAGCCTCTCCCTGCGGTGGGTCCAACTGGAAGTGCAGGATTTCTGATTTCCCTGAGTGTGCTCGTGCCAGGGGATGGGGTTGCAGATCTGCTGCCTGATAGCTGGGGCCACAGCTCTCATCCTCCCACAGCTCTGGGCTCTGGCTTTAGTGCAGCTCCAAGTGCCTTTTCACAAGAGCAAGGTGCAGCAAAGTTCCCTTTTGTGTGTTTGCTGAGAAGTTGCAGGTGATGCCCGTAGCGACTTTGAGCTGGAGATTGGTTTCTTGTGGGAGCAGCTGCAGAGATGGAATTGCTGAGTGGATAAAAATCCCACTGCTGAATGACACTGACCAGAAAATGGTATCTGGGAGAGTTGATCTTCAGAACTTTCTTCATCTCCTGATTGTTCATCTTCTGGGTTGTGTCTCAGCCTGCTGTAACAAAGGACTTTATAGTCCTTCCAAATTAACAAATTATACTTCACTTTCTCAATCCTGCTGTTGCCAAAAGAGCGCTGTGTTCCTTTCTGCAGTGAGGTGCAATTTACTTGCAGAATGAAGATTTGGGGTATTTATGGCTTTTTATGTGGTTGTGTCTGACAATCATTTTATTTTTAGAGGAGACAAAACTTCTAAAGCCTATCTGCAAGCTGTTCAGATTCTTGTATTCATAATAACCAGGAGGTGCTAGCAAAATCCTTGAATTAAAGCCTATATTTAGTGCTATCTATAGTGGGGCAGGGTTTTTTTTGGGAAATGTATTTTTAACATCATCAGGGAAAGGCAGGTTGAGTTTGCAAAGCTGATACTCTTTGCTTGTATATAGAACCAGCCATGGAACACATGGATAATTCAGATTTCCACATGTTTTCTTTAAACACATGGTGTGACTTTCCTTTATCCCTTTCCCAGCCTCAAAAGTTAAAACAGGGCATCAGAGTAGGGATGGGAAGGGGAAGCTCTGGGCATTGCTGGCATTATGCTAAAGGGACTCTGTGTCCAAAATTCCCTGGATGGAAGGTTTTCTTTGGCTTTTACTCCTCCCAGCTGTTTTGCAGCTAAGAGAAGTGAACTGGTTCACTGGGATATGATGCTGGTGCTGGGAGATGGAGCCTTAATTCATCCACAGCTTTCTTCTGGGGTAATTACAGCCTGTCTGCGATGTGTCTGTGATTGAGCCTAGAAACCTCCCAGAGAGGAACACCTCCTGTTAGCTTCCCCTGACCTTTGTCAGATGATTTTTCTTCTCATTTCTTGACTCTAAGATTATACACACGACTTCCACAATGTCACATGTCACAGAGAATAAAATGAAAAGTAGGAGTTTGAATTGTGATGTTTTTAAAAAGAACATTCCATTCTGCAAAATGTCACGGTACAGTTGTCGTTTTCAGGAACTTTTCCTCCTGGAATAGAATAATAAAAGTTGGAGTGAGGAAAACGCCAGCATTTTTCTCCACTTAGCTGTAAATGCCAATTCTTTGGATTAGTGTTGCATTAAGGTATAACTGAGTTATTTGACCATTTTATGGGTGCTTCAGTTAATTGCAGCTGTTTTATTCAAGTAAAGGCTACAGATGCAAGGACGTGTCTGGTTAGCTGTGAGCTGCCAACCTGTTTGGCTGCTCTTTGCTGTCCCTTGGAAGCAGCCAGCCCTTGCTGGTATGGGCTCCTGAGCAACAGCTAATTCCTAATACAGCTAATTCCTTCCTTGGCTGTGCTCCTGCTGGGATTTGGGAATGGGAGAGCAGCCTCACCCCCAAAACACTGAGCAGCAGGTGGGTCTCCATCAGGGTTTCTCCCTGAAGTTCCCAGGATACTCAAGGGCCACTGGAAGTGTTGGGCTCCAAGCTGTAAGAGGTCTAAGCTGCAATAGGGGCACTGGAGCTGCACACCAGGGCCAGCAGGTCCTGAGCCTGCAGTCAGAAATGCAGCGGGTGCAGCTGCAGCGAGCCGCGCTCGTGGAAATTCCATGGATTATTGTACATCCTGTGGTTGCTTTGCCTGAGATTTAACTGCTGTTGGTAAAATTCTTGTGTTCCCCTTCTCTTGGCAGCCAACATCTCATCCTGCACAGCCGTCCCCACAAGCAGAGCCCTTCAAGGCGCTGGTGGAGCGCTGCCGCTCCGAGCCCCTCTCGCAGAGCACCCCCATGGGGCTGGACCAGCTGGGAGGGCGCATGCAGCACCTGCTGCGCAGACGTGGTGAGTGCCTCTTTGCCAGTTTTGGCTTTTTGGATGTCACCCATGCTGCAGCAGGGATGGGAAAGGCAGGAATGTGGTTTGCATCCCTGCTGGTTACATCCTTGGTGCCAGGTGAGGGAGCTCCGAGAGCCGCGTGCTGAGGAGTTTCTTGCTGGCTAATAGGATCTTCTTGTGCACTGTGTGTTTATGAAATAAAGCTGTTTTCTCCCTTTAATGTCTCTAACACAATCCCCACAATCTGGTTATGAGAGGATGAGCAGGGGTAGGCACGTGAGGTGTAAGAGCTGTTCAGCAGCTGCTGTGGGAGTTTATATTTGGTGCTTTTCTCTTGAATTTCTGTCCTCCAAAGATCCTCTGTGGTGAGTACTCACTGAGTAGTCACCGTTTGGAGGTGGTGAGTGATGATGGGTACTGAGATCACTACTCAAGTCTGATTGTTTGGAAACACAAGAAGTGAGGGGTTTTTTCCTCTTGTGCTTGGGTACTTTTCATGATGAAGGAGGGAATCTCCTGAGCCAAAGACTGGGGTGACCCCTCTGCATTGTCCTGCTCACAGTGACACCAGAGCACCGTGGAATGTATCTGTATCTGAAGGTAAATTGGCTGATGGCTGAATAGATGACATCATTTTTTGAACCGCCTAATTAAAAAGATTGATAAATGAGAGAAAGGAAATTATTTCCTGAAGGGCCACTGCTGGCATGAAGAATCCTGTGATTTAGCAATGGGCGAGCACGAAGCGCTGCCAGATTGTGCTGGCATTGCTGGGGAGCACTCCGGGGATCCGGGAGGCTGATGGATGGTGGCAGCACATCAGGCTTCAGAAGAACTGGGGGAGACAAGGCCAATTAGCTGCCTGTGCTGTTAATTGATGGCTCTGCTGCCGGGGTGCAGTGGTTCCCAGCACAGGGTGGGGTCACACAGCCCCTCGGAGCGAGCATTCCCTGTTTGCTGCTCCATCCATCGCCTCCCGCTGTAATCGGCACCGTGCTGCAGCCCGGCTCGCCAAGAGTCTCCAAAGTGAAATGTGGGCTGCTAAAAATAGCAGCAGGCTGCCTGCATCAGCATTGAGGAAATAGGTCTCAGTGCAATCTCTCTCCCAGCAACACTGGAAGAAAATCAGGATGGCTGCCCAGCCAGGCTGCAGCAGCATCCCTGCCCTGCTGCGCTCTGGAATGGGCAGGGCAGAGCCCCCACCTGTTTGCTCTGGGGGTCTCCACTCTCCCAAAGCCTGGAATTTATTTATTCTGGTCTCAAACCCCCCAGGACTGACACAGTCTGAGACCTCTGCCGGGTTAGAGGTACGTCAGGAGATAGAAACTGAGCATCTTTTAGGGAAGGATTCCAGAAAGTGGCTGTTTTCCCTAGATCCTTGCTCCATGAGTGGGATGAGGAATCTCCAGGTTCTGGAAATACCATGTACCACATCTGTGCACTGCCTGGACCACAGGTACCTGTGCTTGCAGCAGCTGTGGGGGCACCAGTGGTGCTCAGCTCTGTTTCATTCCCTCCAGGCCAAGGGATGTGAAGAACCTGGCGGAAGAAGGGATTTAAATCTAAGCTTTCCAAATGTGGGAGGGAAAAACTCTGGGCTAATACAGAATGGCTGCTTCACCCTAAAAAGAGAGGGACGGGATGTGGAGCTGAAAATGTCACATTGGAAATTTTAATTGGAAAAGTAGAGCTCATTTGCCTTTTTTCAGAAGCTGCTTTGTGCCTGGGTAGTGCCATCTGCAAGGCCAGGCTGGGGTTTGCTGAGGTTTTTTGTGTCTAGTCAAAGCTAGAGCAGAACTGCGTCTGTGAGGGCTCGGCCTGAAACGCTGGGGGTGAGAACCAGCCCAGTTTCCTTAAAAAACCAGCTTTTATGGACTTCCCCATTTCTGTTTTGTGTGTAAATTGGAGGAGCTGTTTCTTTTCCAAGGCCTGGCATCCCGTGGAGCACAGTGAGTGTGCAGCTGGCATTGCTGCAGGTGCTGCCCTGCGCACACCGCTGCAGGTTGCTGAGGGTCTCCTGCTCCTGGAGCTCCTGGCAGAGCATCCTGGCTCTGCACCCAGCTGGGCTGGCCCCACCTCGGGATGTGGCTCCCAGCTCTGCCTTTTTGTAGTATCCAAGCTGCACTATTTCTCTTGTATCCCAAGAGCACTGAATAAAGCACCTAAATATACTCTGTGCTCTCTTTTTCTAAAGGAGAGGTTGAATGAGTCTCTTGCAAACAATTTTGTTTCTTTCATTTAAAAGAACAGCCTCCGCCCCCAGCCTGAGCTAAAGCACAGCATTTATCTTTTGTCATTCCTTTTTTTTTTGTTCCTGTGGATTTTCTCCTGGCAGCTGAGAACGAACAGGCTTCAAAGACCCTGAAGGTGCGCGGGAACTGCCGGAACGGTGGCCGTCGATGGAACCTCTTCAAGCCTGGAGCTGAGAAGCTGCAGATCAGTCGGGTAAGGAGCTGTGTGGAACGTGCCTCTCTGCCTGATTCAGGGCTGGGATTTGCCTGCTTTGGGCTTTGTGTTTATAACAATGTGCTTGACTAACAGCTTCCTCAATCCCTGGGTCCTTCCGCCACAGATGGGGATTATTTTGGTTTGTTGTTATTTTGTGGCAATAAAAGCTGAGGTGCATCGGATTTTCCCCAAATCAGTGTCCCTTCAATGGGTAGCAGAGACTTTTGGATTGTCCCTGGGCCTCCTGTGCCTGTGGCTGAGTGTTCCTTGCAGGTGGAGGGAACTGTGACGTTTCACGTCGCCTTCAGATCTGCTCCGTGGTTTTGATGGGTTTATTTTTTCTCCTTCCTTTTTTTAGCCCTGTGTCCTTTGGGTTTGGTGCTGCTCCCAGCACCATCTCGGCGACAAATTTGTGTCACTGCTTCTTTCCCAAGGTGTTTTGCAAATGTAGGCACAATCCACTTGGTTCTTTTTTTGTGAATGATGCTTCTAGTGGGGGAAGTAAAAGCTATTGTGGGCCTGGGGACATTTTCCTCTGGGAAAAATTCAGAAAAGATGGCAAAAATGGTTTAATTTGTCTGATGTGTTTCCTTGCTTGGGTGGGGGGTGGGTTTTTTTGCTGTGCCCCTGTGTTTGAAGTCTGGAGGCCTTGTTTTGGATTTGTAGCACTCTTGAGTCTGGTTTCAGATCAGGATTATCCCAAACCCAGTAGGTTTCCCAGTTTGTGCTGTGATGCAGGCAGAGTTTTCTACTGAGTGTGGCAGAAGAGCTTTAGCCTTTGTTGTTCCTCTAGGGCACAGGAACAAAGGATGATCTGGGAGCCAGGAATTTCCCTGCTGGAGTAGGGAACTGACCTTCTCTTGTGTCTCTGTGGCTCTTTCCCACCCCACTGCTGTCCTTCCTCACCAGACCTTTATTGTATTCCTTTCCCCTTTGATATTTGATGAACTGCCTTCCTGAAATGTGATTTCCAGGGGGGCCTGGCCTCTGGGTGTGTTTTTCCATCCCAGGAGCAGTAAGTTGGCAGTGAGTGACGCTGACTTCTCCATCCTCCTTGTGTTGGCTGTTGGTTTCCAGGGAACGTGTGCGGGGATGCGCCGCTGGAATTTTGGTCGCTTGTGGCTTTCTGGAATTCCGTCTTGCGTCACTTCTGTTTTCATTGCTGAGTTTTTGTGGGCTGAGGTACAAAGGCACAGGAGAGCCAGACAAGGAGTTCAGCTTTTCTTTTTCTCTTCCTTCCCTTTGGGTCCTACCTCGCTGCCGCGACATGAACTGCTTCTTTCAACTCAGGAAAGCTGTTCTGGTTTTAAACAAGCTGAACATCTAAAGCTTTGAACAAAGTTTTCCTGGAAGATAAAATGATCCAGATCCAATAAAGCTGCTTGTCCTTGGGGCCAGGATAAGGCAGGTGACTGCAGAGCAGTGAAATATCCTGTTGGGCAGTGTGCAAGCCCTGCCTTGGAATGTCTCAGGTGTGTTGTCCATTTTCTGTGTCCCTGTTCAGGATCTGGTACTGACCAGTGCATGGATGGATTTGGTCCTTAATTAGTCACTTTATTACACCTTAATTAGTCACTTTATTACACCTTAATTAATCACTTTATTAATCTTTTAAGATGAGCATTTGCAGCTTTCATAGCTGTTCTGGAGACCCTCCTGGAAGCCAAGGTGCTGTTGTGACACAAAATTGCTGCTGAATTATCAGTGCCTTGTGCATCCTGATAAAGCCAGGCCTGTTTCAGATGGCAAACAGAGCCCAGATTGCATCAGAGCCCCTTAGAGAAGCTGTGGAAAACAGAAACCTCAGCAAACACAACACCCTGCTGAACCTGGGGAAAGGTCAGCTAAGAAACTGCTTCTCCTGTGGTGATGGGTGGGAAGGATGTGGAGCTGGAAGGGGAAATGAGCTGCTCCTGACCCAGAGATCTGTGGGTGCTGTTTGGCTCAGCCACAGCCATGCCAAAAACCTGTGCACCACTGAGGCAGGGAACTGGGTTTGGAGAGGCCTGTTCATAAAGCAGCTTGTTTTTAAATGAAAGGCAAACAGGCAGCTCTGAAACCTTTGCTGGGGTTTATAAATCAGAGTTGCTGATTTATAAACCCCATCCTGCAGGAGCAGGATACGTAGATGTGGCTCACAGTACAGTGCTGGGAAACTCATCTGTCACCTCTGCCCCCAGCTCAGTGAAGATCTACAGGGCTGCAAATCACCTTCTGGCCAGAAAGAAGTTTCTGCTCTGGCAAGATGTGGAAATTTGGGGTAAGATTTGTGGGCCTGGGTGTCTCTTGTCGAGTGCTTTCATTGACAGCTGACGCCAGTGAGGTGGCAGAGCAGTGCAGAAAGCAGGGATTTATCCTTCCAAGCAAGAGTGTCTGGAATCTGGGCACAAGCTGGAGAAGTTTTTTATGGAGTAGATAATGTTATGGTTCCCGCTTTGTAGGTGGGAATAAGAAATGGAAGCACTGCAGGGTGCTGCGTGTGGAGCCATACAATATTTATTTTTTTTATTTCTCTCCTAATTTAAGAAGCAGGTAAAACTAAATAAAGTCACATTTCTAAAAGCTTTCAGTCTTTAATTTTTTTTTTTCCAGAGTACACTCTTGAGCCTGGAGAAAACTCTGTGTTGAAGCAGTTTATGTGCAGAGCATTTTGGTTTAGCACTTAGGTCACTTAGAGCCTTTGCTTTTATGAAAGCAGTTTGGCACAAACGAGACCAACTTGCAGGAGACCTCAAGGTGCCCTGAGCTGCAGCAGAGATGGCAAGGAGTGCTCTAAAGGCTGCCCTGCCAGGACCCTCAGCATCTCTCATGTCTCTGATTTACCCTCAGGCAGGTCCTGCCAGCTGGGCCGTGGCTGATCCTGGGGCAGGGGGAGCAGTGAGTTCCTTTCTGCAGCCCCAGAGCGGTGCTGGGAGGTGTTTTATGGTCTGGGTGTCAAAAGCAGGGGGTGACAGTCCCATCCTGACCCAAATCACTGGCCTCTGCTGCCCCTTGTCAGAGAATCTTTTGCTTCTTGCTAGCTGCCCAGTCAAAATCATCTCAGCTTTTTCCAGACAGGTGCTCTGGGGATGTGCTCCAGGAGGAATCACTATTTTGGAAGAAATCTTTGAGATCATGCCCTAACACCACCTCAACTAAACCATAGCACTGTGTGCCACATCCAGTCTTTTTTTGAAAGATGGGAGATTCAGCCCTTCCTAAGAGGGGAGGCCTCCTCTCAATGTGTGTTCTCTGTCTTACCTGAGAGATTTCATTTCCAGCCTTTAAAGATGACTGCAGCCATTGCTGTTCTCTGCTCCTTCTCTCCTTCCTGCCCTGTGTGCTTGTGTGCAAGGGACTAAAGCCCAAATTGATATGCTGGAGGAAGCCACTGTTAATTAGCTAGACTGGAAACTTTGCATGAGAGGAGCTTCTTTGACATCCCCTATACTAATAATAGGCAGTCCTGCTGTGCAGAGGTGTTGAATATTCACACAACCCACCCCCCCAGCCTGTCCTTTCTCCTCTGGAAGTCAGGAGCTCTTTCCAGAGGCTGGTGGGGGGTTGCCAGAGCGATGATGGTGGATGTTCCAGCCTCCCCAGAGCTAAATCCCCACCGGCTGTGTTTATGAGGAATGGGAAATTCAGGCAACGTGCAGCCTGTGGGAGAACAGAGTGAGGGGGAAGTTGATTTGGGTGGGAATGCTGCTTGATATTCAGGGCCAGCCCTCCTGCCTGCTATTTTTATCCTCTCACATAGTGCTGAGTGGGCAGTTTGGGCAGAGGGGGGATTTTTTTTTCTCTTTGCCAAGTGTCCTGCCCCGTGTTCCCGTGTACTTGGGCAGGAAGGGGGGTGTGCTGGGGCTCCTGGGCTGCAGCATCCTGGGACATGAGTGGGATGTGATCACAGTCAGATTTTGGAGCCCCTGTGTCCCTGGGAACAGGCTGGGAGAAAAGCAGAGTCCCGAGGCTTTCCTGGTGCTAATTAGTTTAAATATCAGTGTGTTGCTACAAGAGGTTTATGTGCACGTATGGAGGGCTGCCAGGAAAACAAATCCTCACTGAATCTCTCTTCCCTCATCTTAAACATTGAGTACTTCTGCTGGCAGGGTATGTCTGAGCTGTATATTTTGGGGAGGGCTGCTTTATATCTTGATAAACCTATTATGCTGCTCTACTTAGCAGTGCTCTGAAATCTTTATGGAGTTGTTCTTTGGGTTTTTTGGGGTTTTTTTATATTTAGCCATTTATAAACGTTTTTTTGCAAGTTCTGAAAAACTGTCTGTGTGTTGTTGTTCACATAAATCAAGATTGGCTTGCTCAATCGAGGGGGAAACAGGGATTGAGCTTCAGAATATTGCAGTGCTGTGATCCAGCCCCATCTGGCTGTGTGAGGAGTGCCCAGCCAGGGTCCCTGCACCCCTGACTGCAGCACTGCAGCCTTTTCAGCACCTGAGCTGTGCCTGCCCTGCTGGCTTTGGGAGCTGAGTGTGAGCTCCAGGTGAGCCCTGAGCCCATTGCATCCCTCTGGCATGAACAGACCCTGCTCTGGGCTCCCTCCCTGGGGATCGGTGCAAAGCACACTTTATACAGCCTGGAACTAGAAATGAGTGGGATTTCCAAACATTCCATGCTCTGGGTGTTTAGAAAAACATCCAGAAATGCTGTGGTTCTGGACAGAGCAGGGCTGGGGGGACACAAACCTCGGTGACTTTGGTGTTGCTCCAACAGTGCCATAACAGCGGTGTTTTCCAGCACTCCTGGGGACAAACAGGGCTTCAGAGACTGAATCCTGCAGGAAGGAAAGGTTGGAAATGACAAATGGTCACCTTTGAGTTGTGGGTTTATGTGCTGGGTAGCACAAGAGAGATTTGAAGTTCCAGACTTCTCAGCTCTTCAGCAGTTATATGTAAGTCTATATTAAGAAGAAGCTCAGCTTCCAGTTTGTGATGGTTTTTATAGTGCCATTGAAGCTCGGGGTGTCTCTGTGCAGCTGCAGGTGGCAGGTACTGCATCCT